TTTCTAGTTATTCAGCCGCAATGCTCATTTTACGTAGAAGGTTTTGTAAGCTAAGTTTCTCCTATCATTTTGTAAAACCTTCTTCAATGAAAAACTTGCACTATATCATCTAGAGCTCCATCTTCATACATCATTATATAGATATAGTACAGTGATAACAGGGACCAACACATTCTGATGTACAACAACCAAAAGAAAGAGAAAAATGGAATTGTGACATGAGGCTTGACCTAAAGCCTACATATAAAGGTCAAATCAATAATTACAAATATGAAGAATATTGACAGTACTTCACTTTTTTTTTTCTTCTGAATTTGACAAAACAGAAAAAAAACGTTTTTTTCCTGAATTTGACAAAACAGTTTGTAAGAGAACAATGATATGATAGCTACTCTTAGAGAAGATCGGTTGGCTGACGTCAGGGTTTAGAGTCATCGATCTGGCGATCCAAAGAGAAACCGACAATCTGGCCGGCGTGACTGAGAGCAATAGGGCGGCCAAAGATCAGTGTTCCATCCAATTCGGCTCCATCTAGACCTGTCCGCGGTTTCCGGTTAATCCGGAACCGGAACCGCCGGTTTTTGAACTGGAACCGGAACCTTAACCGGAACCGCATAGTACTTCGGTTCGGAACCGAAGGTTTACTAGACCGGTTCGGTTTCCCCAAAAATGTGGAACCGGACGGTTCAGGTTCGGAACCTCTTTTTTGAATTATTTATTTAATTATATTATTATCAATAATATTAATAATGCTGAAAAAGATAATATTATTAGCATTAATTGTATTAATAATAGAAATAACATTATAAGAGTTACTAGTTACTACTCCTTAGTTATTACTATACTAGTTAATCTATATTTTATTAAAATTATTAGTAATAAGTATCAATTATTTATTAATAATTAACTTATTTTAGAATAATAGATTAAAGGATTTTACAATCTAGTTTATAACTATGTAGCTATTAACCATCTTATTTTTGTACTTAATTTTAATAATGAGAGATTTTTATTCTTGTAATTTTTTGGTAACTCTTTTATTAATTTATCTAAATATACTAAACTTTAATATTTAAAAAATAAAATAAAATAAAAAAGTGGAACCGGAAACCGAACCAGAACCGAACCGGTTTGGAACCGGAACCGCCGATTTTAGAACCGGTACTATGCGGTTCCGGTTCCCTAAAATTTGGAACGTTGAACCGGCGGTTCGGATCCGGTTCCGGTTCCGAACCGGGGATAGGTCTAGGCCTCCATCATCGCATTCTTACCAGGGAATATTTGCTCCAGATCTAAGTTTGAGACTAGTCAGCCACCAAAAGGGATTCACAGCGATGATGCTTTCAACGGAGTTCCTGCCTAGAGTCTACCAAGACCGTCGTCGACTGCAGGGATTCTAACGCAAATGCCTGCGGCTACAACATGACGACAGAGCATCAACGACATCGTGAATGAGATCTCAAGACCTGCTCTCCATGCGACGACGGCTCTCAGACACGCGAAAACTACTAGGAACCTCAGGGACATCAATTGCAGACCAATATGTTTCTACCGCCAGCATCATTCTAAATCTGTAGATGTAATAGCTCCATGGCGGCAGAGGTCTCTCTCTTGGACGAAAAACAGGCTCAACAGAATTCCATATGGTCACTACAATCAAGAGCCAGTCAACAACTCTACTTGGGGAGAGCAACAAAAAACAGAGATAAATTGTTTCAGGCAGGGGCAAACTACTGCTGGCCATAGGGGAAATTATAGTGGCTATTTTTCTGATCGGTCGGGCCTCAATGCAGACGACATTTCACGTAACTGCAACTCATATGGGTTTGAAATTCTAATCGAAAGCAAATCTTTTAAATATAATCTTGATTGTAATTCTATGCGTATATCTGAGTCGAAGTATGAAATCTCATCTGCTATTGATCTTAATCTCAAGGAGGCCACTTGGCTGAAGAACTCCATCCTCAAGCTTTTATCTGCCAATTGGTCTTGTACAAGTCTTGAGTTGAAGAATTCCCTTCTCATTCTTCATGATTCTAACTTTTTGGCGGATTTTTTCGCATCCTCAAGAAGGGTTCTGACTCGATATATATACCTGAAGGGAGAAATGGATTGGGGATCAAATTATTTTTTACAGGTATCTTAAGATCAATTGATTTGATGAAGGAGTTTGCAGCCGAACAACCAACTCTCGAGACTAAACAAGTATCTCTAGAGGATCATCGGGTAACATGGTCTTTTTTCCTTGGTTAGATGAGGTTTGCTCTTTTCAGAAAGATATTTTTATTTCGGAGTCATTATTTCAAGCTAATATTGAGCATTCTCCATCCTTTGAGAAATCTTTGGCGTTAAGTTCTTACCAAGGACCTTTGTAGCTCTAAGCGTACTCCTGATTCAGACTCCTCTTTGGCAAACATTAAGAATTTCTTTCAGACTACTATGACTATTGGGGTTGACACACTCTCTAAATTTTTAGTCATAGAATTCGAAAGAATCCTTACCTCCTTTTTAGGAATCAAGAACATTTGGAAAAACTTCCAGTTGAAAAAGAGAAAACAAATGAATTTGCATGTCTAGAGGTAAATTTCTCAAAAGATGCTCACATTAATGACCAATGCACTTCACCTATTGATTTTAAGGGTGTTTTTGATGATAAAATGTTTTCATACTCGGGAGATGAATTTCTTGGTCACACTTCAGATAGCGAGAAAAGGGCTCCTATTTCATCTATGGAAGATCTGTGGGACTCCGATACGAATGAGGATATCTGCAACAAAGTTAGACTGTTGTAGGTCATCATGCATGGAAGCCATGCATATTATTTACGTGTATTATTTGATGTACAATATTTTGTGTACAATATTTTTAGTGGTCAAAGCTTACCCACCTTTTTCCTATTTCTTTGGCTGTTTAGTTGGAGTCCGACAATGACTCATAGTATAACTATTCCACTTGTACAGTTACGTAGAGATAGAGTTAGCGTAGGTTTTGTTCTTATCTCTTCAGTTTCACGTAACTTGTAAAACATGTATATATGAACGCTTTGAATCAATGAGAAGCATGAGAAATTCCTCTCGAGTACTTGATATTTAATTTAATTTGGTATCAGAGCGGTATTACACATACCCTACTGACATCATGACCGACAACAGTTCCCCGACGTCCTCAAGCATCGGAAACGTTAACATGCATGAGGAACCATGACGACGAAAAATTACTGATCCCACATCCCCGTATTACTTGGCGAGCTCAGATTCTCCAGGACAGAACATCTGCGGCTTCACCTTGAAAAGGGAAGGGAATTACCGGCAATGGGCGACTGCCATGCAAAATGCCTTCCGTGCTAAACGGAAGAATGGCTTCGTGGATGGCAGCATTACCCGACCGACCGAACACAATGATGACATTGAGGATTGGATCAGCATTAACTCAATGCTGGTGGGATGGGTTATGACGGCAATTGACTCATCCCTACGATTGAATATCGCCTACATGGATGATGTTCACGATTTGTGGGATGATCTGAAGGCGAGGTTTGCAATTGGCGATTCCATGCGGATCCATGAACTCAAAGAGATGATACGAGGGTCTATTATGGCCGACTAAAAACTCTTTGGGATGAATATGATGGGTACCAGGTGGCACCCAAATGTGCATGCAACAAGTGCACGTGTGATCTGGCAAAGCAGTTTGCTAGGCAAACAGAAGTCGAGAAGTGTCACGATTTTTTGCTTGGATTGGATATGGAAATATTTGTGACCTTGCGCTCAAATATCCTGAGTCAAGAGGAATTGGTGGCGTTGACTAGACTGTACCAAATGTTTACACAAGAGGAGCGTCATAGGAATATGATGCGAGGGAGAGAGGAGCGGACTGATGCTGTGGCATTTGTGGCTGGATCTGGTGCCTTCCCTGATCGATCTGAACAGAAGGTCATTTGTGCCTTTTGTAAGAAGCCCGGACATGAAATTGACCAGTGTTTTAAGCGCACCGGAAAATATCCGGACTGGTGGTATGATAACCCAGGGAAGGGATGAGGAGGACGTGGCCGGGGTGCTGGGCGTGCACGCAACAAAGCTGTGGCAAATGCTATTTGTATTGATGAGCCGCATGGATCTGGTGAGTCTCAGGTGGGGACACAAGCAACGAACAACAGTCAGCCTCCTTCTTTCACTGATGAACAGTGGAGAGGCTTTCTACAACTCATAGAAACTTGTAAAGCATCTTCAGTATCAACTGAAAAATTAACAGGTATGAGCGGACAAATTGAGTGACTCCTAGATTCGGGAGCGTCATACCATATGACCAGAGAAGCACAATTCTTTCAGTCAAAGGAGTCAATTCTGCCTACTCCGGTGACCTTGCCTAACGGAGACGTGACATATGCAACTTTACGAGGCCGGATTATTTTGAGTCACAAAATTATTTTGCATAATGTTCTCTTTGTACCGGGACTCATGTGCAATCTTATTTCTGTGGGACGATTAATTGATGATTTGAAATGCATTATATTGTTTACTAATCAGATTTGTGTAATACAGGACCCGCCTACGAGGATGCCGATTGGAGTGGGTAGACGCCGCGGGGGAGTGTACTATTTTCACCGTATTGAGGAAACTCTGGCGCTAGCAGTGGGAGAAGAGAATAAAAGTGAGATTTGGCATGCAAGGCTCGGCCATCCTTCACTATTAGTGTTGCGTAAAGTTTCTAGTTTTAATAATGTGATTTCTTCTGTTAATTTGCAAAATAAACCTTGTGATGCTTGTTTACGGGCTAAGAAAACCAGAGATGTATTTGGAATAAATTCTGCCAGAGCTACTGATTGTTTTGAATTAACGCATTGTGATGTATGGGGTCCTTATCGTTTTCCATCTTCTTGTGGCGCCCGTTATTTTTTGACTATTGTGGACGATTACACTAGGGCGGTATGGGTGCATTTAATGAAAGACAAGACCGAGGTTGGAACAATTCTTAAACAATTTTTTGCTATGACCAAACGCCAATTTCAAAAGGATGTGCGTGTGGTACGTAGCGACAATGGTACAGAGCTTTTTTTAGAAAAAGAAGATTTTATTCATAACAATTAAAGTACTATGCAAGAAGCGAAATAAATGTAAAAAAGTACATAGAAGAAAAAAAAACAGAGTAAAAAAAACAAAAACTAGATCCAAGGAAAATCTCTGGACTGCGATCTAGTCTTCATGCTATGTCGCCTTTTGTTTTGCTGAGATTTCCTGTAAAGTTTGAGTTGCGTATTCAGGTTCTCTGTTGGCAGACAGTTTTCTGAGGTGACAAACTTTGATTTACGGAAAATCCTTCTGTTGAATTTGGACTTCCCAATTTCTTCCTGGTTTGATATAGGAGGCCGACGATCACTTTCGGTTGCATGTCCTAGAAAATCGTCTGAGAAGAAAGACTCATCAGAATGGTCAAAGCTATCCGAGGCATCAGAATACGCCTGAATAAGTGGAATTTGTGGTTGTTTCTCAAAAGAACGGGCCTCTTTCTTTTCGCCATAGGCTTTCTGCACTTCAAAGTTAAAAATTAGTTTGGAGATGGTTATTTCTTCGGTATTAGCTGCCGATGCATGCTCCAAATGCGTGAGATCCTCCTGCACCGAAGTAGTCATTCCCACTAAATTAGATAGCACCGCCAAGAAGGCTTTTAGGTTAGAATTCTCTGCGTCCATGGGAAACAGAATAGAGCTCCCTTTTTCTTTAGCGATTTTCAAGTATCGGCCTGCTATGTTGAAATCTGAGGTAACCGTGATTTCACCGAACCTCCTGCTCTGTCTAGAGTTAAAATTTGAGAGTTGGTTGATAAATCTGCATATATTGGGCGCTAACTATGAGCTGAAATAAATCCTATTTAGCAAAGATTTTTTAATTGGGAAAATTTCAATTTTTCCGTTGCTGACAGCAAATCTGAATAGTGTGGATCCATTTTTGAGGGAATCAAAACCCTCCTCCCCATAGAAATTAATTTTTTCTGCATCTTTGGAAAAATCATCTCGACTTGCCTGATTTAATTCTCCCTGAATTAATTCTGTCGGGTCCCTGACTGAGTCAGAAATAACGTGTCCTGTTTTTGCCTTACCATAATGTGTTTCAGGCCGAAGGAGGTCAGCCCATGTGAAGGAGGGGAAAGATCCAAGTGATGTCTGTACGATACTTTGCACTTCTACACTGGACTTAGTCGCTCGTCTCGCCTGTGAAACGGATGGGGCTTCTGTCCAAGTCTCCGGAAGGGTTCGAATTTCCGGCGGTGTCTGTCGGGCGTCCGGCAAAGAGGTTTCCGGCCTACGGTTTAGGGTGCCATAGTCTGGTGCGGTTGAGTTCCCATATCGACGATTTCAATCTTCATCTGTGGATTTTCCCCCATTTCCGTTGATTTTCATGCTAATTAGCTGATTAAGGTTAGGGGTGAGGGGCTGAACTGTTTTAAAATTAGAATCGAAGGGTTGAGGTGAAATGGGATTTTCATCGAAGAGTTCTAAGCAGTGGTAACGATTAGTGTTACCAACGGCCGAAGAGTTTACTGGGTTTTTGTGTTGTAGGGTCAGGGGTGTTGATTTGGGTGAGAGGGGTGTCATCGTCCCCTGTTTATCGTGCACCAACCATCTTCCGGGTGAGTATTGGTGAAGTGCCCGTACCTGTTGAGGATGAAGATAAGCACGTTGTTGTTTGTGGAGGTGTGGGCCATACTTGAATTCAAGTTTTGTTCTGTGCTCATTTGGAGTTTCGCAGGTTTTGCAGAGTCTTCCTGCCTGTGCTCGAATTGAGAGACTCCACGGCTGAGGATGTCTATTTCGACGGGTTGGATAACAACCTGAAGTAGGATAAAAACTTGAACTGTGGCACTGATGGGGGTAGAAACTCTTACCTGCTATAGGGGAATTCTTTTTGCTCGTCGTGAATTTGCCATCTGAGAGTCTGTAATGGGGGTACGCATACCATTGTTGTCGGTGGTTCCTATTGATGTTCCGATCTCTATAATTGTGTGGTTGATTTGAGTGGTAGTTTGTGTGAAAAGCGTAGTGAGGATTCCGGCGGTGTACAAAGTGCCGGTATTCCATATCTAGTGTTAATAGTGCGATGGGTGTTTAGAGAGATGGAGGAGCTTCTCTCTCTTCATCATTTTGTACTCTGGTATAGAGTTTTGTGCCTTGAAAAATTATTGTTTGGATCATGGAATAATTTTTCAAACCTCCTGTGTGTATACTCCACAACAAAATGACCGGGTGGAACGCAAACATAGGCATATTCTTGAGGTGGCTAGGGCCTTACGGTTTCATGCCAATTTACCTTTAGATTTTTGGGGGGAATGCATCCTAGCGGCAGGCTATTTAATTAATCGCTTGCCTAGTCCGGTGATTGACAATAAAACTCCATATGAGCTTTTATTTGGCAAATTACCCCGTTATACAGATCTTCGAGTCTTTGGATGCTTGTATTATGCCTATGCTAAGGATCAGACTGGTGATAAATTTTCTCCCCGTGGCGTGAAGTGTGTGTTTCTTGGATATGCTCATTCACAAAAAGGCTGGAAAGTCTATGATTTGGAGAACAATCGCCACTTTATTTCTCGGGATGTGCGGTTCTTTGAAACCATTTTTCCTTATCATGAACCTACTGCCTTGGATTCTAACCACACATCTTTCTTATCCACTGAAACCCATGTAACCGATCCCATACCTACGGATAATGATCCTGATCTCCCCACCATATCCAAACCAAACCCACCAACACCACATACACTACATACACCAAACACCCATATTCCCTCCAACACTGACACCTTATCCTCACCACATGCTTATTCACCATCAACCACCAGAATCCACTCACTCAACTCACCGACAACCCCAGCCACATCACCATCTCCCATTGAGCCACCTCACAACCCCAATTTTAGCTCTTCAGCGTCAGCATCTACATCTTCCAGTCCTGTAACTCCTGCACGTCATATTACACGTACAAGGAAACCATCTGCATGGCATGATGATTATGAAGTGTGTCTTAATACTGTGCGAATAGTACCTCCCTCCGACATCTCCTCTACTTCACCGGTACCCACAGGTAATCCTTATTCCTTATCTAATTATGTGACATATAATTGTTTTTCTCTTCCTCATCGTGCATTTTTAGCAGCAACCAGTCAAGCCCGTGAGCCTGAATCCTTCCGAGATGCTGTCCAAGATCCCAAGTGGCGTGATGCCATGCAGGCTGAAGTCAATGCCTTGGAACATGTCGACACATGGAAAGTGCAGTCCCTGCCACCTGGAAAACGGGCCATATATTGCAAGTGAGTATATAAAATAAAGTATAAAACTGACGGTTCTATTGACATGTACAAGGCACGGTTCGTTGTCTGTGGTAATCGCCAAATTCATGGAATAGATTATCATGATACTTTTGCACCTGTGGCTAAAATGGTCACTGTACGCACTATCTTGGCGGTGGCAGCTTCCCGAGATTGGGTGGTCCACCAGATGGACGTGGATAATGCATTTTTGCATGGCGATGTTGGTGAGGAAGTATACATGCATTTTCCTCCTGGCTACTCTTCTTCTTCTCCTGGTCAGGTATGTCGGGTGTTGAAATCTTTTTATGGGCTTCGTCAAGCCCCCCGTTGTTGGTTCTCTAAACTCACGTCGGCTCTCAAAGCTTATGAGTTTCATCAATCCCAACCCGATTGTTCACTGTTTACCTTTCACCGACCAAGCGAAATATTATGTATCTTAATTTATGTGGATGATCTCCTTATTACTGGCAATGATCCGGAGTTAATTGTTGAACTTAAATCTTATCTCTCCTCACGTTTTCCGGTCAAAGATTTGGGGGTTATGAAGTATTTTCATGGGCTCGAGGTTGTTAGAAATCCAACAGGTATATTTTTGTGTCAACGAAAATATGTTCTGGACATTCTTACCGAGACTGGGATGCTTGGTGCTCGGCCTGTTTCCTTTCCCATTGTACAAAATCATGGACTACAAACTGATGACGGGCCTCTTTATGGTAATCCCAATCAATATCGGAGATTAGTTGGGAAGCTTATTTATCTCACTTTAACCCGACCCGATATTTGTTATGTCGTTCATGTGTTATCTCAGTTCATGCAAAGACCACGGCAGGCTCATTGGGACATGGTGGTGCGTGTGCTACGATATCTCAAAGCCCATCCGGGACAGGGGATTCTTCTTCGACGCGATTCTCCTCTAACTTTATCTGGGTATTGTGACTCGGACTGGGCCAGCTGCCCCATCACGTGCCGATCCGTTTCTGGGTATTTTGTTCTTTTGGGTAATTCTCCTATTTCTTGGCATACGAAGAAACAGATCACAGTCTCTTGTTCCTCTGCTGAAGCAGAATATCGGTCTATGGCGTCACATGGTTGCGAACTTATTTGGCTCAAAAATTTATTATCCTCTCTACCCGTGAGTCATTCTGATCCTATTAGTCTCTTTTGTGACAACCAGGCCGCCATTCATATTGCCTCCAATCCAGTGTTCCATGAGCGCACCAAACACATCGAGATAGATTGTCATTTTATTCGTCATCATGTACAGAATGGGACCATTGTTACTGCACAACGTTCGTCATCAGAACAGCTTGCAGATATTTTCACAAAGGCCCTTGGACATACATAGTTTCAATATTTATTATCCAAGATGGGTCTTCGGGATCCTCACTCTCCATCTTGAGGGGGGGGGGGGGGGGGGGGGGGGTGTTACAGGCCATCATGCATGGAAGCCATGCATATTATTTATGTGTATTATTTGATGTACAATATTTTTAGTGGTCAAAGCTTACCCGCCTTTTTCCTATTTCTTTGGCTGTTTAGTTGGAGTTCGCCAATGACTCCTAGTATAACTATTCCACTTGTACAGTTACGTAGAGATAGAGTTAGCGTAGGTTTTGTTCTTATCTCTTCAGTTTCACGTAACTTGTAAAACATGTATATATGTACGCTTTGAATCAATGAGAAGCATGAGAAATTCCTCTCGATTATACTAGGAGTCATTGGCGGACTCCAACTAAACAATCAAAGAAATAGGAAAAGGTGGGTAAGCTTTGACCACTAAAAATATTGTACACAAAATATTGTACATCAAATAATACACGTAAATAATATGCATGGCTTCCATGCATGATGACCTGCAACATAGACTAGTCACAAAGGAAAATTGTATACCGACGCAGAACTTAAACACTCAGATTAAAATGTATCGGAAAAAGCATCAGAGATCGCATATCATGCGGACAAGGTCCTAATCTCGTCTACAATGAAGTGAATTGAGATCCAAGGGATGGTCATCTTTCGATGAATTTAGGGCTAGCTTTTCTTACTTTTATTGTATTTTATGCTTTTAGCTCTCTTTTATGTTTTTCTTTATCTTTCTTGTAATTCTCCTTCATTTTTATTTAATAAAATCTCTCTTTTTGGTTAAAAAAAGGACAAAACAGTTTGTATGTTTTTTGGCTAAGTCACATACCATCAATAATTTTGTAGTCACTTCACGTGAAGCTCATAGAAGTTTCTAAAAAACACATGGTCAAACTTTTTACAACACCAAACACCCAAGTAGCAGTTAGCCACCTTATTGGGTTTCTTCTTAGTTCTCACATAAGTTAATAATAAATCAGCCACATGTATGAAAAAAATGCTTAATTATCACCTCACCTGAGCTTTGAAAATGATCATTCTTAAAAAATCACGAATCATTACATAATCATACTTCTGAATAGAAGCATCAGTGCCAAAAGATAGAGCGATTGAATGTCATGAAAACCACTTAAATGATTTTTATTAAATGAATTAAATGGTTTTGAGCAGCATAACCATATAAGAGCTCATCACGAGAGGAATTGTCACATTTTAGGATACACAACACATTTATACTCCGTATCAAAAAGAGATAGAGAGTGAGGCCATTAAACATTGTCTTACAGTTTTCATAAATACCAAATCTCAAATGTATATCCACATATATATTCAGGATACAAATGTCACAATCCAACATAGGCTCCCAACGATACCCAACTCGCTTAACATAAATGGAGAAAAATTGTGCCATTGATTGTACATATATATCATATGATTTAATGCGGCTAGATTCAGTATTCAAAATATATGGATACATAATGGTTATTGTTTATTTTGTAATTTTAACTAGTTTTATTTATTGTTGTTTAGGAAATTACACACTTTTGGTGTAATACTTTATTTTCCCTAGTTGTTTGTAATTTGTTTAGATTAGGACTATTTTGAGATTAAACTAGAGAAAGATCATCAAAAGAATCCTTGGAAGGTCAAAGAAAGTGCAAGGGAACAAAATAAAGTGAAGATTTAGGAAATAAGTCATTTACCCGGTGGGGTATAGCATATACCTGATCGGGTATTTGCTTGATTCGAGTGTCTAAATCAAATCCGGGAACAAACGATCATGGGAACAATATTTGTGAAGATTTGTCTTTTACCCGATCGGGTATCCTATTTACCCGATCGGGTATTTCACCTTGCCACCTTCAAACACCTATAAATACACCTCTTTTCCTTCCCATTTGATATACCTTATTCCATATACTTAAACTCAACTTAGAATAGTATTTTCTTTATAATTCTTTTAGCATTGTTTAGTCTCCAAACGAGGAGCTAAACTTCCACTTCTTGGTTTTGCTCTTGAAGCTTGTTGAATGTTAAAGTTGTGAGTTATTTTCTTACTTCTTCCCTTGAATATTAATTCTTCCCTTATTCTATCTTTATATTAATGTTGGGGAGTGTTGCTAAGATGCCAATTAGTTAACATCTTGACATTAATTACTGCTAGAAACGATCAATGAACCGATGGTTGTGTGAATTACGCCCAGATCCAGCAGTCGAATAAATTAAGAATAACAGTAATAATTGAAACAATAGAAGAGAAATTCACCAATAACGTATACCGTGTATTAATGATGATGAATCCATGATGAACAATACACAGTACTCGAACGTATGAAGAAGAGAGAGAATTTCTAATCTATGTGCTCTACCAAAATAATATGCAGAATAGAATGTGTAGAGACTTAGAGCTGATTTGAGCCATCTCAGCCTGTATTTATAGGAGAGATATTTCGACCAATCCTATTACAATTAGGAAGCAACTTAGGCGTG